TCATCTCTAGTAATTATAAATAAAAAAATATAAATAAACATGTATTAAATGAACATTTACTATAAATTTTCATGGAGTTTTTTTTTATGATGTGGACATCTTAGATAGAGGGAGAACCTATTTATATATATGATTCCCTCTCTAATAATATTAATATTATTATTTGATGGTTAAAACACACAAATTAAGAAACTACATAAATACTACAATTTTTTGTGTTTTTACATAAAAAACTAAAATAATTCACCAATCATAAAAGTTACTGCATAATTCAAATAGTCATAAAAATAAAATGTATTAATATTTTTTTCTTGATAAATGAAAACCTCAACTAATCTGACAGCCTCAGCCTTAAAGGAGTGAAGCCTGATGTTGTAACATACAATACAATGATCTCAGGTTTGTGTGGGAAAGATTTAAAGCATGAAGCAGATGCCTTGTTTAGAAAAATGAAAGAAGATGGGCCTCTCCCAGATAATGGTACATATAATGCGCTGATTAAAGCATGTCTCAGAGATGGTGATAAAACCGCATCAGCAGAACTCATTGAAGAAATGAAGAGTTGCGGGTTCTGTGGAGATGCTTCAACAATAAGCATGGTCTTTGATATGCTGCATGATGGGAGATTAAACAAAAGCTTTCTCGATATGCTTTCTTAAACCAGAGTTGCAGAGCAACCACCTTCCCTTAGAAGCATCTGTGAGGTGAATCAATCTTTGTATGTTGCATTTCTTGTGGTTCCTTCTCCACGCAGTTTACATAACCGAAGCTACAATTTGTAGTTGTGTATGTTATTGCTTCAAATAAACACACTCGTTAAACACAAGACCAGTGATGAGAATCTGCAATATGATTTTCCCTTCAATAAGACTTCAAACTCCAAAAGATGAGAACTCACTTTTGCTAATCGTATATCGATTCATAGAAAGTTTTCAAGAAGCTAATCTTATGTACGCAAGACCCTTTTGGTTGGAGTTGAGAAAAATGCTTGACTTATATCATGTACATTTGAAAAGAGATAACAGCTTTATTTGAGCCAAGCTCAATAATATTATTATATGTACAAATACAATTAGTAGTAAACAAAAATTAGAAAGTTAAATGCATTTTTCATTTGACGACAAACAAAAAAATCTTATTCAATTCGTAGAAAGTTTTCAGATTCCCTTTGGAGCCACACCAACGGAGTTCAATGTCTCTGCATTTCGAGGCCTAATTTGCACAAACACACAAACCAAATTTCAATTTTGGTTAGCAACACCTAATTATTGTCGATTAATAGAATGTTCATAATAACTTTAGTTTGATATAAATTCATAATGAGCTTCTTCTAATGAAATATTTTAAAAACGTTATATAAAACAAGTTTCGGAG